CTAAGTGACCTCCCTCATGACCCAAAGTTGACCTGTGTGACCTGTCGTGTCCCATATGACCTCTGCGACCTCTAAGTGATCTCTCTGATTACCCCAAGCTGACCTCTGTGACCTGACGTGTCCCAGAAGACCCCCAATTGAGCGCTGTGATGACCATAAGTTGACCTCTGTGACCTGACGTGCCCCCAAGTTGCCCTTTGTAACCGACGTGTCTCAGATGACCCCCATGACCTTCAATCGAGCTCTATGATGACCCCAACTTGACATCTGTGACCTGACGTGTCCCATATGACCTCTGTAGCCTCTACGTGACCTCTCTGATGACCCCTAAGCTGACCTCTGTGAGCTGACGTGTCCCAGATGACCCCCATGATCTCCAACAGAGCTCTGTGATGACCCCAAGTTGACCTCTGTTACCTGACGTGTCGCTGAAGACCTCCGTGACCTTTATTTGAGCTCTGATGACTCCGAGCTGACCTCTGTGACCTGACATGTCCCAGATGAACTCCAATTGAGCTCTCTGCTAACCCCAAGTTGACCTCTGTGACCTGACGTGTCTCAGATGACCCTGAATTGAGCTCTGTGAAGACCCTAAGTTGACCTCTGTGACCTGACGTGCCCCCAAGTTGCCCTTTGTGACTTACGTGTCTCAGATTGCCTCCGTGGTCTCCAATATAGTTCTGTGATGACCCCAAGTTGACCTGTGTGACTTGGCGTGTCCCATATGACCTCTGTGACCTCTAAGTGACCTCTCTGATGACTCCAAGTTGACCTTTGTGACCTGACGTGTCCCAGATGACCCCCATGTCTCTCTCTCTCTGTCTCTCTGTCTCTCTCTCTCTCTCTCTCTCTCTCTCTCTCTCTCTCTCTCTCTCTCTCTCTCTCTCTCTCTCTCTCTCTCTCTCTCTCTCTCTCTCTCTCTTCTCTCTCTCTCTCTCTCTCTCTCTCTCTCTCTCTCTCTCTCTCTCTCTCTCTCTCTCTCTCTCTCTCTCTCCCTCTCTCTCTCTCTCTCTCCCTCTCTCTCTCTCTCTTTCTCTTCACGTGCCGGTGTCGCGGATCCTATAGGCAAATTTTGTACATACCAGTGTTGATCCCAAGTCTCTGACCGGACATGTATTTTTCCTTCCCTTAGGATGCCGGCGGCGGCGACGACAGTGCGCCGGCGCACATCTCTATGGAGGTGGACACGGCGACCCGTGGGCGACCGCCGCTGCCGCGGTTTGCTACAGGTGGCCATGGCCACTAATCTGTTGGAGGAGGCGCCCCCGGCACAGGTCCCAACCGCCGGAGACGCGGCAGAGACCGGGCAGTGGGCTGGCTTCCAGTAGCGATACGACGCGGTCGTGACAGCGTCTCAGTGCACAGGAGCTGCGGCTGTGGACGATTGTTGAGAGACGGCGCGGGGCACCGATAGAAGCTTGTCTGCTAGAGATCAAATCCTGTCTGCTGGTGGTATATAATGCCGCGTAGCCCCGTGTCCGTGATGATCTTTTAAGGCCGAGCTAGCTACACTAAGCGTGACCGTCCAGGAAACTAGAAAGCACCCACGTGTACTGCGTGTTCGTGCTCACTGGATTCCCTTGATACCCGTAGTTACGTGACCCGCCGACAGGTGGGACCGGTGGCGTTCGCCCTGCCCGCCACCGGCAGTGCGTGCTCGCTTTCGGCAGAGCTCGGAGCTCCCTGTGCGTGGCCCAGTCGCCGGTATTTGAGGCGGTTCGGGTCTCCGCATGTGCTTTGAGCGGTGCGGAGATGGAGGAGGCTATCCGCGAGTTGGCGGAAAAAGTGAGTGCCATCGAGGCATCAGTGCGCGTCATTGACGCTCGTGTGAGTGAGCCCAACGCCGGTCGTCGGCACGTGGCTCCAACGGCTCTCAGTGCAGCCGAGGCTGCTGAGCCCAGTGAGAAGCAGGAGCAGCCGAGTTTCGGCGCGTCAGCAGATCTGCAGGCTGACTTTCGAGCGATTCGGGACAGCCTGAGCAAGGTCAAGCTCCCTCAGGACTTGGTGGTTGGTGACTCCCGAGCCGGAATCGGCAAGGCTGATCTAGCGCGCTTCCAGGTCATCCAGAAGTGCGCCCGTTTCCAGGAAACCGCCTTGAAGATACTGTCTTCGGCGCAGGTAGCTGATCCAGTGATTGACCAGCTCACAACCGTGACGTTGGCTCAGCTCAGGTTCCTACAAGAGGAGTACACTCATCTGATTGTCTCCAACCAGTTCGACGACTCTACGGCGCAGCTGTTCAAAACGCTGCAACACAACCCGGCGACCTTCACGCCTGGAGCAGTGGAAAATCTCCAGCGCGCCGTGGCCATTGCCGGGGCGCGGCAGCATTCTCGTCAGGTCAGCCAAGTTCCTGACCGTGGTCGCTGGCGAGGTCCAGCACCGCAGGGCCAACGGTTATACGGCGGCGCGGTGTCGTCTGATTGGCGGAGCCGCGGTCGTCCCGGCCTGCCGCCGTCACGTGACCTGCCGAGGTCGAGTCAGTCTGGTGGGGCGGGGGCCGGAGCTGCGGACTGATAGTGAGAGTGGACATGGTGCTGCGGCCGGAGGCCTGGGCGGGGATCGGTGCGTCTGATACAGTACTTAACTGGGTGACGGAGGGCGTGCCCATCCCCCTCGTGCGTGAACCCGAGCGTAGAGTGTTCACCAATCCAGTGTTTAGTGGTGCAGAGAAAACGTTTTTGGACCAAGAAATCAGTGCGCTGGAAGAGAGGGGTATTATTCGGCGGGTTCGCGACATGCCCCATTGTGTATCGCCGCTGAAGGTAGTACCCAAGAGTGGCGGCAAGTTCAGACTGATATGCGACCTCAGGTACGTGAACTCGCATTGTGACACGCCAAAATTTTCTTCTGAGGGTATTGATGTGCTGCCGGAGATAGTGCGCGGTGGTGAGCAGGCTGTCACCGTAGACCTGAAGGATGGTTTTTATCATTTTCCGATCAGGGCTGAGTTCCGAACGTATTTAGGGTTTCAGTTTGGCGGTTTTTGGTGGGTGTGGTGCTGTCTACCGTTTGGCTTGCAATGTTCGCCGTTTTTCTTCCACAAATGTATTCGTGTTGTCGTCGAGTATTTGCGTGGTCCTACTCACTCTCTATCCCTGATGGCATATGTGGATGATTTTTATCTTTGCTCGTCAAAAACACGAATTCAGGAGGACATGCGCGTACTGTTGGATACCCTCAAGGCACTGGGGCTTACGGTTAATTTTAATAAGTCCTGTCTCACGCCGTCAGATTCAGTTACGTATTTAGGGTTTGACGTTCACTGTGCGTCTGCGTCTCGACCGCCTTTGATAACAGTTCCGAAGGCTAAAATCCGCAAGCTAAAACAGGACATTTCGAGGTCACTGAAACGTTCTAACGTGTCAGCTAGGGTGCTGGCTCGAATGGCCGGTCGTTGCGTTAGTATGCTCGCCGCGGTGTTCCCCGCAAAGTTGAAACTTCGCAATGTGTACCGACTTTTGAATTCCAGGTCGTCTTGGGGGTCGCTGCTGACGTGGTCCCCCGGAGCCAGGGACGATCTGTCGTGGTGGGTGTCCTCTCTGGACAGCTGGAACGGCCGGCTGCTGGTGCCGCCAGCTGCTTGCGATCTGCAGCTCGCCACCGACGCCTCGGGCTCCGGCTGGGGAGCCGTTCTCTCGGCGCACAGTTGTCAGCTGGCGTCCGGGTTCTGGGACTGTCGGGTGAGTGGCGAGTCTGTCAACTATCGAGAGCTGCTCGCGGTATATTTGGCACTCCTTTCATTCCGTTCAGCGTTAGTTGGGAAAACAGTGGAGATTCTGTCTGACAATGTTGCTACTGTGGCGCACATTAATAATTTTGGATCTTCCAATATTCGCTTGGATAGTGTCGCCCAAGATATATGGGCATTTGCGTTACAGAATGGCATGTCGCTTGTCGCGCATCATATAGCGGGTGTTTCAAACACAGGTCCAGCCGTTTAGCAGAAACGGCTTTTACGATTATCCATATTTTCCTTGAGCTACCGTATGCCCACGCAAGCGTGATAACGAGCGAGTACCATGCCGATAATACGATATGTATGAACAAGAATATCTTGTGATTGAAATTGCACAGCCATGCACTACCGAAGTTCATCGCTGAAATTGCATCTAGACCTGTGTAATTTCTTACTAACAGTAAGAAGCTCGACAGTAGTTTCGGTAGCAGACAGTATGTAGACTACTTGTGTCTTGTAGACAGTAGAGCTCGTCTTGACGGCGAAATGTCATTGTCCAATTTTTCACTGTCCGGCGACCGCGGGATGACATTAACACTGTATGTCACGCCGTGCACATTATGAGCTGACCTTTCCGTGACCTCTCACTGGTAGCCCGCTACATAGCGCCATGAGGGGTCGTTGTGTCTGTCGTTAGGCGTCCCGGCCGGTCCGCCGGTCTCCGGCTGTCTGGGTGACGAGCGGCGTCTGTGGCGACCCCGCTCAGGACGCACCAGCCGCTGGCTCTCCAGCAGACGGCGCACGACCTGGGTGTTGCCTGCTGCCATTATCCATTATCCATTAGCAATCCACATGTGCCTTTGTCTGTTTTCGTTGTGAATAAATGTTTGCCTTGACAAGCGAGCTGAAACATCTTTCAATCGCCCAGTGTCATTCGATGCAATACCCGATCACATGCCGTCGAAAAGGTTATCTCACTCCACGCTGGGGCTCCAAGATTTTCGCGCCTGATGGGGGAGGGGCTGAACCGTGAACCCCCCAGTGAAGGGGCTGAACAGCCCCCCCATTCCCTCGATTTCAACTCAGCTCCTTGACTAGATACGTGTGTTGGTACTTGGTAGTATTAGAACGAGTATTAGAACTCTACCTGAGACGAGGCCACTTGAAGCACCTGGTGCCCTCACCCTGCTGACCTTGAAAGACACGAGCCTAAACTTTTAGTGTAGCACATATGCATGCTAAGGCGTGCCAAAGAACGGCGGCGCTACCGTCTGATCGCTTTCAAAATGACCTCACTCTATTTCTCGTCAAAAACTGTAGCTTCATCACCAGGGTTCTATATTTACTTTGAAACTGAACACGCCCAGCGCTGGCACACACGCGGAGCGGCTTCACATGCGTATACACTCGGTCATCACATGTGGGCATTACACGAGGCCCGGCCGAACAGAACTTGGTGCCGCTAGCGGCCTGGTAGTGCACGGTCAGGCACGGCTCGAAGCCGACGCCACTGACGACGGCGAAGCGCTCCATGTCCTTGACTAGCTGTGCGGGACCGATGCGGTCCACGAAGCGGAAAGGTCCGCCAGTGAGTGGCGGGAAGCCGAGACCCAACACGCCGGCTTCGAGGTCGCCACGTCGAGACCTGTCAAAATGCGGTGCACTTAAGGCCTACAACTGAGGCAACCACAATCACGAGTCAGGAGTTAGGTTAATGGTGGCAATACGATTCATATAAATAGATTAAGGTAGATAAATCAGGCTATGAACTGAATTATTCGAGTCACATCCACCTTCTCAGCTAGCAATGTGAATCTCTCACCGATGTCGGGCTCGTCTTCCATAGCCTGTTCGGTGAGCCCCAGAAGCCGGGCGCCATCCACAGAGCGGGCGACGAACGCGTCGGCGTACTGGGCCAGACCGAGAGAGCGCAGCCAGCCGCCCACCGGAACGCAGCTCCATTCAGAGACCTGACAAAGAACGGAACGGTCACTCTACCTGTACCATAACATTGCAATATTTTCACTGTCCACGTAGCCATCGGGAGTCGGTGTGCCGAACCCTACCTGCGTGGTAGCAGCGCGAAGCGGAGCGCTGGGCATCGGGTGCACCACGACCGGCGCCGGCACTCCCACCGGCCACAGCATCACGGCTCAGTCTTAACAGCCTAATATCAGCAAACATCCGTCTCTAGAAAACCAGCAGCACGTGACGTACCGCTAGTAGCCCTGTAGTGCTCGCAGCAGCGTCAAGCTCTCCTGGCGCCAAAAGCGCAGACGGCGTCACGTGGCTCCCGCAGCTGCCATCCAACACCAGGGGGCAGGCGCCGTCCAGGGCCACCGCCAGCTGCTGCAGCTGGGTCAGCAGCTCGGCCTCCCGGCACGGCCGGCGCAGGGTCGGAGGACGAAGCGACAGCGCGCCGTCAGTTAGAGGTGACAGCCGGGTCAGCGCCGGCCGGTCCTCGGGCGGCAGCTCGCGGCGCACGGTCTCCTCGGCGGCACAGAGCTCAACTGAGGGTCATCTGGGACACGTCAGGTCACAGAGGTCAGCTTAGGATCATCAAAGAACTCAATTGGAGGTCATCTGGGACATATCAGGTCACAGAGGTCAGCTTGGAGTCATCAGAGCTCAATTGGAGGTCACGGAGGTCATCTGGGACACGTCAGGTAACAGAGGTCAGCTTAAGGTCATCAGAGAGGTCACTTAGAGGTCGCAAAGGTCATATGGGACACGTCAGGTCACAGAGATCAACTTGGGGGTCATCAGTGAACTCAATTGGAGGTCATCTGGGACATATCAGGTCACAGAGATCAGCTTTGAGTCATCAGAGCTCAATTGGAGGTCACGGAGGTCATCTGGGACACGTCAGGTCACACAGGTCAACTTGGGGTCATGAGGGAGGTTACTTAAAGGTCACAGAGGTCATATGGGACATGTCAGGTTATAGAGGTCAGCTTGGGGTTATCAGAGAGCTCAATTGGAGGTCATCTGGGACATGTCAGGTCACAGAGATCAGCTTGGAGTCATCAGAGAGGTCACTTGATGTCACAGAGGTCATATGGGACACGTCAAGTCACAGAGGTCAACTTGGGGTCATCACAGAGCTCAACTGAGGGTCATTTGGGTGACGTCAGGTCACAGAGGTCAGCTTAGGATCATCAAAGAGCTCAATTGGAGGTCATCTGGGACATATCAGGTCACAGAGGTCAGCTTGGAGTCATCAGAGCTCAATTGGAGGTCACGGAGGTCATCTGGGACACGTCAGGTCACAGAGGTCAGCTTAAGGTCATCAGAGAGGTCACTTAGAGGTCGCAGAGGTCATATGGGACACGTCAGGTCACAGAGGTCAACTTGGGGGTCATCAGTGAGCTCAATTGGAGGTCATCTGGGATATATCAGGTCACAGAGGTCAGCGCCTTGGAGTCATCAGAGCTCAATTGGAGGTCACGGAGGTCATCTGGGACACGTCAGGTCATACAGGTCAACTTGGGGTCATGAGGGAGGTCACTTAGAGGTCACAGAGGTCATATGGGACATGTCAGGTCACAGAGGTCAGCTTGGGGTTATCAGAGAGCTCAATTGGAGGTCATCTGGGACATGTCAGGTCACAGAGATCAGCTTGGAGTCATCAGAGAGGTCACTTGATGTCACAGAGGTCATATGGGACACGTCAGGTCACAGAGGTCAGCTTGGGGTCATCAAAGAGCCCAATTGGAGGTTACGGAGGTCATCTGGGACATGTCAAGTCACAGAGGTCAACCTGGATCATCACAGAGCTCGATTGAAGGTCATGGGGGTCATCTTGGACACGTCAGGTCACAGAGGTCAGCTTGGGGTAATCAGAGAGATCACTTAGAGGTCGCAGAGGTCATATGGGACATGTCATGTCACACAGGTCAACTTGGGGTCATGAGGGAGGTCACTTAGAGGTCACAGAGGTCATATGGGACATGTCAGGTCACAGAGGTCAGCTTGGGGTTATCAGAGACCTCAATTGGAGGTCATCTGGGACATGTCAGGTCACAGAGATCAGCTTGGAGTCATCAGAGAGGTCACTTGAGGTCACAGAGGTCATATGGGACACATCAAGTCACAGAGGTCAACTTGGGGTCATCACAGAGCTCTGATGGAGATCATGGGGGTCATCTGGGACACATCAGCTCACAGAGGTCAACTTGGGATCATCATAGAGGTCACATAGAGGTTACAGAGGTCATATGAGACACGTCAGGTCACAGATGTCAACTTGGGGTCATCACATTGCTCAATTGGAGACCACTGACGCAGCTGAGACACGTCGGTCACAAAGGGCAACTTGGGGGCACGTCAGGTCACAGAGGTCAACTTATGGTCATCACAGAGCTCAACTGGGGGTCTTCTGGGACATGTCAGGTCACAGAGTTCAGCTTAGGGTCATCAGAGAGATCACTTAGAGGTTACAGAGGTCATATGGGACACGTGAGGTCCCAGAAGTCAAGTTGGGGTCATCACAGAGCTCAAATGGAGGTCATCTGGGACATGCCAGGTCACAGAGGTCAGCTTAGAGTTATCAGAGCTAAACTGGAGGTCACGGAGGTCATCTGGGACACGTCAGGTCAAAAAGGTCAACTTGGGGTCATCGCAGAGCTCATTGGAGGTCATGGGGGTCATCTGGGACACGTTTTTGGAATCGGGTGAATTTTGGGGGATGACCCTTGCAACGTCCAACACCGCCTTTCTGGATTCGCCAGTAGTTGCTGGAATGGTGTTAGGCTACTTCCAATTCCTGAATGCCCCAATAAATGTGAAATAGCATATTATGGACCATTTTCAACACTCTTGCTGCCTCGCTGGCATGGATGGAGGCCTCATAGACGACCTGTCAGTTCAAGCTCTATAACTTGCATTAGCATCAACGGATTGCAACAAAATTTTCAGGATTTCAAGTTCAAACAATTTTACACGTACCACGTAAATTTCGAGGCAATGACCCGAATGACCTGTGACCTATTCGGTATACCCCAAGGCAAGGTCAACTTGCGACACTGACACTACTTACGACTGCTATTTCAATTTTGTAAGTTGTGTCGCAAATCAGGCAACATACAATACATTAAAATTACAATAACCCACACCAAAACACACTATACCTACCAAATCAAGTTCTTCAGCACCCCTAAGGCCAGTGCACTGGCACGGGGCACGCGGGGCACGTCCAAGGTCAAATCGCGTTTCTCAGATTTTCGGTTTGTTATTTTCATCAAGGTTTTGATAGGTGCTCGCACGGTAGCCATGTTGGGATAGGTGAATTAAAGGTTAAATTATTTAAATATTTTAAAATAATTTAAGACCTGCCAAGCCTAACAATACGCAGAATAATAACCAGCATTAAAAATTGTATTGGGATAAAAATTTATATGTGAATCGAAAGGGTCCGCTAAAAATGACCTTGACCTTTGACCCGTCATTTCTCCGTAGTTTGACCTTGCCAAAACAAGAAAAACCAGCAGTAGCATCTCCAACATTGGTTGCATTATTGAGCAAAAAATTATTGAAATCTAAGGGGTCCTCCTTTCTCACCTGGCCACGTGGTCACTTCCACTTCCTGTATTACACATACGTGACCTTGATTCTGACCTTTGACCTACTATATATCAGTTCGTGCTGCTTGCCAAAGTAAGAAACTGATATTTTTGAAATCAGCTCTTCATGGACTATAGTTGTACCAATTTTTACGAGAATCCAAAGGGTCCGCCGAGAATGACCTTGAACTTTGACCTAAGATTCCTCAGTTCTTAGGGGGTGCCAAGCCTAGGTGATTTATTTTCGTAATAAGCATGTCCTGGTCTATCTATCCTGTTAATTTAAATTGATTCTGAGGGGTCCGTTTTTGTCATTTTTTCCACGAATGTGGTGCTGGAATCCGAATCCGAATTTGAAGCCAACTTTATGAACGTGTCAGCAACTGCGTGAGAATTCGTCGAGATGGCCTTGATTCGTCGCAGTTTCTTTCCGTTGTGGTTTGGTGGGTTTAGGTGTATGCGTGGTAGGGTAGGGGGGCACGGTAAAAAATATTTTTGGAGCTACCTTGACTCTTCATCTTGGCGATATTGATAAAGTATTAAAGTATTTTTTCAAAGCCCGGTTCTTTGGTAATTTTCTTCTTGACGGGAATCCTCAAAACTGGATATCAATATCAAGATTTTTCACAAAGACTTGGATATTTTGGTAGTCATTAAGATATTTTCCAGGTTCCATGACATACTTGCAAATTGAACTTTGCTAGCTTATTTGTTTACTGTCTTCCGATTATCTGTTTTACATTGTTGAGTCGCAAGCTGAAGCTACGGCTAGATACATAAGGTGTGATCCATGATGATGGTGATGTGTTAATGCGTGCTTGTCTTGTCTGTGAAGTAACGGTGTGAAAATGATTTCAGTCACTCCCTCTGTAGGTACCTATTTAACCAATACCGATCCAGAACTAGCAGATTCAAAGATTTAGGGGCTGAAAATGGGGTTTATCAGAGCATGATCTGAAGTTGTAGCAGCTCCGGCAGAAGCCTGGCCTGGCTGAAGAGCTTGGAGCCAAACTGCTGTTGAATTAAAACAATTATAGAATTATGTATCTTCCAGTAATGAGCTTATGCTAGAATGGTTACTATCACATATGCAGGCTTCTATCTACAGCAAAGATATCTAATGTCATGATGGTGGTGTTGCTGAATGCATGTCACACACTTTTATTGCCCTTTAAACCTTTTCTTCCATTGATAGCGATATGCTTACCATGTGCAAAGGTGCATACTGCATAGTTAGGGTGCCTGATTCTGTTATGTCTGTATTAATTAATGGATACTGATAATGTGCATCCTCAGTCGGGCGCACTATGGTATCGGCAGTCCATTTATAGAAACGTTTCTATTTTTGGAAGAAAGTTCCAAAAATGGAAACGCTAAAAACCAACTGTTCCAATAATGGAAACGCTCCGTTTCTATTTTCGGAAACGCAAGGAGCACATAAACCTGTTCGGTAGTTTCCGCAACAAACCATAGATTTCCGCATCAAACGAAGGCCACCAATAAAAAGACCGCATTTCGCTTCATAATTCCAACGTTGAACAGAAAAATCGGCTGTTGAACAGGCTTGCATGGTCCACTTCCTTTTGTAAACAATAGATTTTTTCATGATAGGTGAACTTTTATGTGTCATTAATGAAATATATCTCATTTTTTTGTGGAAAAATTTGATTTTCACAAGAATGACAATTTTTTAATTGACAGACTTGCTGTCTGGTATTCATTAATATTTTACATTGCTGTAAAGCAAGCCCTGAATGGCGTGTTGGTGACCACGTGCGGAGATCGTCTCTCCGGCTTTGGAAGGCGGTAAGTTGGAAAATATTTCGTACAGATGCTTCTAAGTGGGCAAACTGAACTTGTTAGCACCCATTTAACTTACGAATGTGTGAAAGTTGGTAGAATGTATGTAAATAATTGCATTAAAGGTCTGATATGTTACTGCTTGTCGGAAGCGATCCAAGCTGTCGTCCAGTTTTAAACGATTCAATTATATAAAAAAGTGATGACAAGGTGTTATAAACAATTTCTATGGATAGGGAAATGCTCAAACTGTTCTAATTGCCCACTTTGCACCGTATTAGTTCAGTAGGCCTTCAGTTAGTGCCTGTGTAAGGCCCATTGAATAATGCTTTATGAAGCACAGTTTCCATTTTTGGAACAAATGACGAATTTTAACTCAAGTTGTACATACAGCTCACAGATGCAGTAGGTTATATGTATTTCAACTCTTATTTGCATTTAATGTTTTTAGAAGCACTTTCTGCCTTTCTCATTTCTAATAATCCACGAGAAGGTTGGAAAAGGTGCACGCTCCGACAGCATGAAATGCGAACCGGAGCTTCTGAACTGGCCTGATTAGGCCGAAGTTTAACTCCAACCTTACTTAAAAAGCCTTGCTTTTCTTGGGAAGCCAGAGTCTGTTAACCGCAATTCAGGGCACATCGCGACGCTTACTGCAGTCACGCATGCATGCTTGCAACAGTTAAAATATGTTATAATGTGGGTTTCGTAAGCAGTAGCAGCTTAGTAGGCAAGACGGTTGGACAGTTCTGGGGTTTATGTAGGTGCCTAGAAATTGGGGACTTTCCCCAGAAGACACATTTTCATAAGCATTATTGTACCAACATCAGCTTTCGGGCACCATGCCCAAGCAATTGGAGGACCATTCATGCGAAATTTTGATGCAAAGGGAAATCACCCATATTGGAACATGTACCGGCATCAATAGCTCGGCAATTACTTAGAGGGCGTGGGGTAGACAGGCCCACATATCAATAATATGGGTGCTTATGCCTTTTCCTGTGTTGGCTCATAGTTTCCATTTTTGGAACCTTCCGTTTCCAAAAATGGAACGTTGACAAGGGTTTGCGTCAGGGCATCAGATTCGCCATTTGCGTACGAAAATATTGTTGGATTTTACTGTTTTGGGAAAAAACATATCGAAGAAGACACGCCAGCTGAAAAGACTACTATTAACTTAAGAAATACAGAAATATGCCTGCTTAAAAATTGGCGTTTCTAATTTTGGAACTGGCGTTTCCATAAATGGAACAAAGTGCCTTCCAAATTTGGAAACGTTTCCTTTAATAGATACGTATCCATAAATGGACTGCCGATACCATAGTGCGCCCGACTGTCCTGGACCTGTCTGTTTTTCAGAATTGAATTAAAAATGGCAAAGCAGCATCTACTGTATGTGGCATTTTTAGCCACTCTTCTGGTGCCACACATCTTGGCCAATGGTAGGTACATTATGTGCATTGTCCTTTTTTTCTTTGTTCTTTTTTGTTGTTGAAGCAGGTATGAATTACATGGTTAAAGGAAATAGTTCACTTTCCTGAAATTAGTATTTTGCTATGGATTCATGTTTTTTTATGCTCAAAATGATCAGAAAATAAAACAAAACGTTTTTGTAAAAAGGATTATTTGCTATATTTTAGTATAAGAAGAACTATATTCTATATAAAATAATGTTTGACGCGGAAGCTTATTACGCGTTGACCAATCATATTGCGTAGGACAAACCCATCGGCTGTAAGCAGCGTTCTGATTGGCTGACGATGACGTGACTGCATTCCTCAGCAAGGCACGCATTCCTCTGCAAGGCACTCTTTTCGGAACGAAAAATGGAATATCTTCGTCTAGGGTGATCGTTGGGCCGTTAAAGCTTCTGATTTGTGCTAGTCTCAGCGCAAGCAACAAAACTGCTATTCCAGTTCCAAACCCCATGTTAAAAGTGAACTATTTCCTTTAACTGCCAATATGTGCATTAAAATCAACATGTGAAGGTTGCAGGCATGAGGCATGTAAGGTTTTCTGCTTTTTAGCTGACTGCTCTACTGGCATCTGGCTTTCATAATTTTCTTCAGGATATTCGTGTAAAAGCTGTGCCAATGTCACACGCTACAGTATTTACATATTGTGTTACATTGATGTTACATGGCTGATGTACATGCAGTCATGAACTTAGGTATCACCCTATCAAATAATTTGCTCAATAATGGTGGCAAAGGAAGGCTTTTATTTGACACAGTGTCATAGTATTGCCTTTGAAACAGGGTTCTTAGTGGAATATTTGGACTGTATTTGGATCAAATAGCTTAGAATATGGAAAATAAACCACAACATATTTTTCTTCACTGTTTTTAGGCTTCCTAAACACTGAACAAGTACCTACCTAATCTAATATTGCTTGCTGAGGACTTTATGACATCTAAATCTGAGAGCAGCCTTCCACTTCAGAGATGAAGTGTAATGAATGGTGGTTGTGCTTACTGCTTAACATTGTGGTAGCCTAATATGTAATTATTAATAGTGCCTATTGTCCAGAGATGGGCCACGGAAAGGTTGTTCACAGTTTGGTGCTGTATCGGGAGGCGCAAAGGCTGGTGTGGGAGCCGGGAGGGGAGGGTGGGTTTCTGTTACCAACGGGTCGGAGAGCGCTTGGTGACGGTCACCTTTCTCCGGGGGTGGTGAACTGCAGAGCCGGGCCCCTGCGACGTCGAGCCGCCGCTCAACTGCACGGCCTGCCTGGCGCTGGCCCCCGACTGCAGCTGGTTCGTCTGCGAACAGGACGGCAGCGCGCTGTGTGCCAACACGACCGCAGGCGCCGCAGAGGGCTGCCACCCGGGCAATGCCACCGACTGTACCGGTGAGCCGACCCGGCCGGCAGGGCCATGTGTGCTCTAGGGGAACCGAGCCCAGACGGGCCAGTCTGTGTGCTCGACGGCCGGTGTTGTGTCGATGGTACGCCGCCACCAAGAGAGGGTGCCGCAGGCGGCAGAGTTGACGGGGTCTCCTTTTTCTGCAGAAGCCGGCCCGGATGATCCGACGACCACCGTGTTCCCCACTACCACTGAGCCGCCTACGACCACTGAGCCGCCCACCACCGAGCCGCCCACCACCGAGCCTCCTACTGAGCCGCCCACCACTACCGAGCCTCCTACTGAGCCGCCCACCACTACCGAGCCTCCTACTGAGCCGCCGACCACTACCGAGCCTCCA